AGTTTTGAATGGCTTGCTTTTGTTGAGGTCTTATGCTGGTAAACACAAGTACCATGACCTCCTGTGGGCAAAAGCTGTGGCTTGTCCAGAAGATAGCATTTCTAGGACTCTTCTTGTTTTCCTGCTTCTAAATTCTCTCTATCCACTCATTTTAATGTTCCCTGAACCTTGGAGGGTGGAAGTTAATACAGATGGCCCATCTAAACCTGAGCACTCACTGTCACTTATTCTGGGCTTTTCCCCAATTTTGAATCTTCTTATTACCCACTGTCTACTGAAAAGGGAAGCTTCTCTGACTGATGTTGGTAGCAGAAAAAAAATACATGTGCATAAACATAAATATTTAGAGGGAAGCTTGACAACAAGATCATTTAGCAAGACAATCACAGTGGTTTCCCCACTAGGACCCATGACCTCCCATACCAAGCATGTGAATTAGTTCGCATGGATCAAACCTTAAATGCAATCAGAGAGTTGATGGTCATCCCCATAAATAAGTCACAGCACTATTGTACCAGTGAACTTATCTTGCTTGGTAGGTCAGAATTATAGAGATGTCTATGCCAGGGTAAATTTATGGATGACTTTTACCTATACCTGCTGGCATAATATCCCTTAGCACCATGAAAACTTGCCAGTAGAGAGAAAATTTACTAGTCAATTCAAGAATGACTTCTTTATGTTCTGAAACCAATGTGTGTGTTGTCTTTGGCAATGGGGTATTAAAATCTAGTTACGGTGGGCAACCAAAAGCAATGGTAATAGCTTCTGTTGGTTTGGGTGTCTTTGGAGATTGCCTGACTAACAACTTATAGTAAGGTAACCCAGGCCTGGTCTTCATTCAGTACCACATGTTCTGAAAGCAGTATCATCTACCTACATGGGGTACCTCTTCGATCTTTTCCTTTTTTCTCATATCTTTTTGTCCTTAAATATATTTTTAATTTAAATACAATTATGTCACCCCCTTTCCCTCCCTCTAGCCCTTCTCAGGTACCCTGCCTTCAAAGCCCCCACTCTCCAGTTGATTGCCTCTTCTTCTTTATTTTTAAATGTGTATATATGCACACATGTGTATGCACAAAAATACAAACATACCTTGCTCAGTCCACTTGTGTTGTTGAAATTAAAGTTTTCCAGCTGACCTGAATAAGGAGGAATCTCATGGACCCCAGAATGATGGATGAGAGGCCAGCATCGGACTGATCCAGACCCTGTGAACATGGGTGTCTGTGAGGAGGCCTTGGCAATCTTTGTGGTCTTGGGTATTAGATCAATATTTATCCCTGGCATATGAATGGACTTTGGGAGCACATTCCACATGGAGGGACCCTGTCCATGATGATATGACAGACTTTGGAAATCCCCCATGAAGGGCCATCCAATGTACCCATATGCACTTAAGTATTTAACTCTCAGTATTCTACTCCCTGCTTTGTTCTTTCAGAGTGCATGGTTCTACTATCAACTCTTATTTTATTTTTTAATTTAAATTAGAAACAAGCTTGCTTCACATGTCAATCCCAGCTCACTCTCCCTCCCCTGCTCCCCTCCACCAGGCCCTCAAGCCCCCACCCAATCCCTACTCCTTTCCCCAGGGAGAGTGGAGCCCTCCAAGAGGGATCTCCATAGTCTGTCATTTAGTTCAGGGCAGGGCCTAGGCCCTCCCCCAAGAGTGCAGGGTGAGAGTGCATTTCTCATTGTGGAATGGATACCCAAAGTCCGTTTGTATGCCAGGGATAAATACTGATCTACTACCCAAGGTCTCATAGATTGCTTAGGTCTCCTCACTGACATCCACATTCAGTGTGTCTGGATCATAATCCAATGACAGAGAGGGAGGACTGAGGAGCAAAGGAAGCAAGACTGGGTTGGTTTAACCCATAGAAACAGTTGACCTGAACAAGAGGGAGCTCTTGGACCTCAACTCTTATTTCATTTTGAAAAAAAAGATATAAAACATTGTGGACAAAATGGGAGACCTTCTTCATTACCTCCTAAGTCTGTTTCTATAATTCTTTCCATAGAAATAGTTACCACTTGCTCCTACCTGGCTCCCACATTCAGAGGTCTTGCTTCAGGTCCAATGTTGGTTCTACAACTTTATGACTAGGGTCTCCTTGCTCTCACAAGGTCAGGTCAACTGTTTCTGTGAGTTTCTCCAGCTTGTTCTTGGCATCTTTGCTCATCTCTCCTTCCTCTCCACAACTGGATTCCATGAGTATGGCTCAGTGTTTAGCTGTGGATTCCTGCTTCTGTTTTGATCAGCTATTGAATGAAGGCTCTAGGAATGGCAACTAAGGTAGTCATCAATCTCATTATAGGGGAAGGGCATCAAAGGCAGCCTCTCCACCACTGCCTAGATAATTAGTTGGGGTCGTCCCTGTGGATCCCTGATCTGTCTCCAAACCTGTACTGGCTCCCTCTATCAAGGCATCTCCTTTCTTGTCCTCTTCTATTCTTCTTGGGTAGTCTATGGGACCTCTAACAGTGGAGCCAGTATTTATCCCTAGTGCACAAATGGATGTTGGGAGCCTATTCCCTATGGAAGTATGCTATTGCAGCCCAAATACATGAAAGAGGGTCTAGGCCCTCTCTCCAAATGATGTGACAGGCTTTGATGGCATCCCATTGAGGGTGTCACTATCCTTGGGCTGTGGGTGAGGGATGGGTTGGGGGGTGTTGGTGAGGGGCATGAGAGGATGGGAGAGCTAGGGAATGGGAGGATTGATACGTAAAATAAGATTGTTTCTAAAAGAAAAAATATTTGTCATTAAAAATATTCCTTCTTCTTAAAAAAATAAACAAATCACTTCCTATTTTCACTTTCTTCAATGTTTGTATCTGCAAAACACTTGAAATTACAGAGAAATCCTGAGCACCTGGGAAGAGAGATGTTTCCATATTTAGTTTTGATGTCTTTCCCACATCTCCTTAGACGATGATGTAGAAAGGCCAGATTTTAACCCTCACTTTGTTAATCAGTTTAAACAATGTGGATTAGCTTCCTAGGGCTGTCTTAACAAAACTGGGTGTCTTTACAAAGGAAAAGCAAATTCTCTGACAGTTCTGGGGTCTAGAAGTACAGAATAAAGTACTTAGCACAGCTGTTTTCCTTCCTATACATCAGGAAGATGATCTTTGTCATCCCTTCTATGAGCTCTGATAAATCCCTGGCTAGTAGCAACATGACATTATCATCTACCTCATTTTTCACTTATCTGCCTATGTGACTTTGTTCCTTCTCTTGTTTTTAAGAACATGTCAGTTATGGTGGATTAGAAGGCCACCCTCATTGAGTATGACCTCATCTTCACTAATTATATCTACAGTGAACTCATTTCCAAATAAAGTCACATTCTGAGATTCCCAGAAGAATTTGAATTCTGGGAGGACATTTATTCAACTTAATAAACAAGAACTAAAAATTTTAATTAGATTTTCTCATGAAATAATGTGAAGAACTCTTCCTAAGAAAATAAAAATTTATCAATACTTCTTTCAATGTTATTCACTTGACTGAAACTATCTTTAACTCCTATGGTAATTCATTTTTGTTTTCTTCTGTCTGTCTGTCAGAAAACATGGTTCTATTCTTTATATAGTTACTGCATTGTAATCCCTGCAAGATTTGGTAGGTCCTTAGGAACTAGACATTGTTTCAATAGAGAGAGAGTGTGTGTGGAGGGTGTATGCATGTGCATGTCAGGAAAACAGAACACAGAACCTCTGGGAAATCAGCACTCCTTTATCCTTTTGTTGCCAAGGGTAAGGGTACATGAAATAGTGTGAGTTGTGTGATCCCTAAGGGTCTAAAGAGTGAGTCTCATAACCTCTTGCAACTACTCAAGACTGATGAGTATTGTTCATCAATTTTCACAGAGTAAAAAGCAGTCTTGAATAATAAAAACCTAAATGTCATAGATTTTGCTAGAGTTTTTTCCCATCAGGGAAGAAACAGGAGACTCTTGAAATTTCAGGGAATGGTTTGATTCCCTGATCTAAAAGATTGGAATAATCACAGATAGTGCCAATGGTGGTGTATTCACAGTGGAGAGAGGTGTCCCTTAAAAATCATCAGTAAAAGCCCTTTCCAATTGAGACCTTCCTTAATTTCTTCACCATGTAGCCTCACTCACTTCATTTCTCTCAAACACTAGAGATGACTTTTCAGTGACTCAGAGGCACTCCTTCTGCTGGTGTTTTCATTTTTGTAAACCAGATGGAAGCCTTTGTTCTTAAGCAGCAGGTCTTTTGCATAAGCCTCAGTGGAATCCTCAGGCTCCTAGCCAGCACAGGGGGACTCTGAGTTGCAAGAACACTCCAACATCCACATGCTTGCTGCTTTAGACTTCAGACAACTAACAGGTACCCAAGAAAACTGTGTCAAGGAAACTGTACACTGACATTTACTGTCACTCCCTGTGATCCAAAAGTGCTGTAGTGTGCTGCTCACTGTACTCAGGAGTGTAAAGGAAAGGACTGCTGATACAGGAGGATGGCTCCCAAGGATGTCAAGATACTGTGCTGTGTGAAACAAGCCAGCTAAAAAACTCCCATGTCTGATTACATTTTCATAATGTTCTGGAAATTGAAGAGCTACAGAAACTAACATGATTTGGGTTTAAGATGCAAGTCAAGAAAGTTTGGGTTAGTTCAGATACCCAAGTCATATTCTCAGGTGATGTTACATACAGCAACTTCATGCTATTAATTTGAGAAGCTCTAGCATTTCTTGAATTTGCAATTGTATATGTTAGTATAGCCAACCTTAAGCATTATTGATATAATATCACCTCTTGCATCTAAATCAAAGTATAATGAAGCTAATTACCTGACCAAAGTAACACATTGATTAATAGGTAATTCCATTATCATCCAATACAATGGCTTGTTTATGCAAACTTTCAGTGAAGTCAGCATCATGTTAAGAACATTCAGGTTCATAGATAAACACTGTTCATCTCATGTAATACACAATGACATCAGATAAACACAACTTTTTGAAAAGAAACAATTTGGTTTAATTAAGAGTAGTTAATACTTGAATATGAGCACTACAGCAACGGTGAGAACTTCAGAAAGCAGGAAGCCTACAGACAGCATCAATTATCTAAAAGGCACCACTAACCCTTCCTACCCCCAAGGAATTTTGATTGTAGTATGGGAGGTGGATTGTGTCTCCTTGAACTAAATCACAGAATGGGTATGGCTTGTTACCAACCATATTTATTGCCAGAAAAGGAGAAAAAATACCCTCCATTGAGTAATGGTTCAACTTGATTTCCCTACTTCTGCATTTCCGGCATCAAGTTCATCCATCACATCAGCACCAGACTGAATTTGCTCATGGCTCAAGGACGCCTCTTCACCTGTAAAGAAGCAATGGAGTCTAGTCTTCTTGCATGACACAGACCCTATCTGTTTCAGCAGCTTTGTTTCACTGCAGCCTACTTTCCACTCTCTCAATGTCCAATTCGCTGAGTCCCAATTTTAATTATTAAACTAGGGGAATGTGTAGAGGAAATCCAATGGATGTTTAGTTTGTTAGTTTTGTTTTATTTTTTGATCATATATCATTACTTGGTATTGGGAGTTATAAGTGTGAGGATGATGTCACAAGCATGAGATCTGTGAAATCTACTGAGTCCAGCTCTGGAAAAGATTTTTCATTTACTAGTTTAATGCTCTAATGTAAAAGTCCCAAAATTCTTAACCATTTTATGTTTCAAGTTGAATTTGGGAGTCCCATAAGACAATAAGGTGTACAAATGAGGAGAGGAGAAAATGCCAGTCTAGTGTCCTTTTGTAGGTATGGGGCTGGAATAAGAAGATTACGTAGAAGTCAACCCTACCTTCATTTCCAGACACAGGGGTAGTCATAGACAACCCTCTTTATTTCTATCATGGTTCCTTCTCTGAATAAAAATGTATGTGTGGTGCTTTTAATGAGAACAGCCCCCATATGGTTCAAATGTTTTCTGGAAAGGATTAGAAGGTGTAGTCTTGAGGGAGATAAGTTACTATGGGCAGAATGTGAAAAGCCCACATTAAGCCCAGTGTCTCTCAGCCTGATGTCTGTGAATCAGGATGCAAAGTTCTCAGCTATTTTTCCAATACCATGCCTGCCTGCATGTTGCCACCGTCCCTGTCATGATGATGATGATGGACTAACCTTCTGAAGCTGTAAGCAAGGTCCCAATTAAATGTTTTCTTCTACAAGTTGCCTTGATCATGGTGTCTCTTAACAGCAATAAAACAGAAACTAAATTAATATAAATATTCCAAGACTCAATCACATTGTCTTTTTTTTTCTATGAAGGCTTTACCAAATCCTATAAGAATCTATTACTTTCCCTTTTGATCCCTCTCCCTAACAGGAAACTGTCTTGTAGAGTGAATATTAGATATTACACAATTAAGGTTAAGGGATATGTAATAACTCAGTTGGTCGAATGCTTACTTTGTATACACAAAATAGTGGGTTTCATCCACAGCCCTAAATGAACCATAAATGGTGGCAGGAACTGTAAGTCCAGATGTAGAGGTAGGTTCAGTTGGAGGCAGGTTCAAGGACAGCCTAGGATATAGCCTAGGAGTAATCCCATCTCCAAAACAAAAATAAATGGGCTGGGGAAATAGTTCACAATAAAATACTCATTATTCAATTATGACGACCAGCACCCACATCAATGCTGGCCAGGTATGAAGGCTCATACGTCATCAAAGTACTCAGAACCTAGAGGAAGGTGATTGCCACAATAAGCTAACTAGCTAAACTATCTGAATCAGTGAGTACTGGAGACAAGTGAGAGACACTTCTTTAGTATGTAAGTTGGAGAGTGATCAAGAAAAATATCTTACATCAACCCATGACCTTTGACACACTCCAAAATATACCACACATATGCAAACACACACAAACACACACACACACACACACACACACACCATGCACATTTATATACACACAGAAGGAATATTGTATAAGTATTCAAAGATAACTGAACCCACTCTGAGGTGTAGATCCCTGCAGGAAAGGACTCGGTTTATTTTTGACACTTAGCACAATGTTCTCCATCATATTTGATTCCTGTTACTGTAAACAGAGAAGGGGTAGGAAAATGAGCATCTTTCTAAATGGTAGTCAGGAGAAAATGTCTGTGTATTTGGGTTCTAGGCTTCCAGGCAATTCGCTGTCATTCAGTTTGTTGAGACAGAGCCATGCCCACATCTCTGAGCCTTTCCTTCCCATCTTCCCACTCTCCTGGCCTGCCACCTGTTTTCAGTCTCTTCTATGTGAAATTAATCTGTCTTAAATTCACTGGGGAGCAGATTCCTTCCACATGATTGAATTTAATATTGCTGTGTTTACTTTCTTGCTTTTTGTTGAGCGTTTAAATCCAGGTGTTTACAATATGGGATTCTTCTTCTCTAATTTCTTTTCTTCCCCAGTGTATTCCTCAAAACAGCTGGTGACACATGTGTAAACAAAATCAAAATATTTGTTTAAAATCTTCTAGGATTTTAGCTCTCCTGGACCTGTTTATTTTCAAATTGACCATGAATGTTGTAATCAAGATTATGTTACCAGGGAAATGTAAAACAATTGAAATGGGGACTATTAAGAAACATCACCTATTCACTATTTAAGACAGTGAATAAAGAGGAAAGGGCATAGCACCTTTCATTAACTGGGATGCATTAAATAATAAACTGAAACTAAGAGAATATGCTATGTCCTGTGAGAGCTTGCTGGATCAAGCGCATATCTGAGGTCAGTTTGTGAGTTACAAATGATTTAGGCACAGATTATTAAATGTATTCACAAATTGCTCCTAAATAATTACTCTCAACATGCCTGATTGATAAAAGCTTGATCATTAAAATCTTCCATTAAGAAAGCAACTCTGTAGAAAGATGGGACAGGGGTAGAAAATATGTACTGATAGGGAGTGGTCATGAGGTCATTTTTCATGGTCAATTACTGAACTCAACAAAGTTGGCACTAATTTTATGTGTCCTGCACAGCAGAAGTATGGGGCAGAGTAAAGGGGACATGGTTTTTGGCCTGTGAGTATGTCTAGATACGTCTGACACAAGTCACAGAGTTCTATGCAAAGTGGTACCTGGGAATGGTGCTATGAAGGAGAGTAATACAATACAATGAAAGTCTGCACGGGGAGGAGCAGGTTTGGCCTGGAATTTAGCTGAGGATATCGGTGAAAGCAAACACTGTAAGCACTAACAGGCTTAAGCATAGAGTCAAACTGAAAGCAGTGTGATAGAAGATGGGCTGCCAGGAGACTGTAAGCCTGGACAACACCCCTCGGATCAAAGAACCCTCGGATCTTTAGCAGATAGTCAAACTCGACAGAAAATATCTGTGTAGAAGAGGACAAAAAAAAAATCAGGGAAATGAAACAAGAGGACCCTTTACGATTTTCTCAAAGCCTCTCATCCAACCCTAGAGTATAAGTGTGGTGTCCAGTATCAGGATCAACTAGAGACTGCACTCATGATCACATGTGTACATACACATACCCATGCACACACACTTATGCACACACATACATATTATTTATGTGTAAATACATACATATTTATGCTTGCACATATTAAGCCTTCTCATCTAAGCATGTAGAAGTGATCCACATCTGCTTGTCAATGTTAGAAAATATCCACATCTATCTCTAAGTGTGACTCGAGTGAGAGCAAGGCCAAGGCTCTGTAAGGTCACACAGCTGTTCAGCAGAAGATCCCTATCCTAGGGGCCATGGCCCAAGTGTAAAACTCAAAACAAGTTTGGATGTTCTTTCATTAGCCTTGTGGAGTCTGGCAGGAGTATGCAAGGCTAGGATAAAAAGGCTCAGGAAGCAGTTGTGTGTGTCAAGGAATGTATAGAAATAAAAATGAGCCAAGAACTTGATTAGGCTTTGTAGGCTCTGACCGTGGAATTCCATATCCTTGTGACTGAACGTTTGTGCTTCTTGCTAATCAAAAGCACCTGAGTGGGAGAAACACAGAAGTCATTTCCTAATTGAAAACAGTTTAGGAATCTAAATCTTGGAGTTGTTCCACCCTCACCCTCCCTAATAAAGTATGTGTAGCTTTCCCAGCATATGGAATAAAGTTTAGAGGCATGATAACATCCTGCTGCACTAACTACCAAATATGCTGGGCAGGAAGGGTGCAACTCATCCCTTATTCTGGATTACACAGATATGAAGTATATCTGGGAGCAATTGCTAAAAATTCTGATAATCTGAGCATAGAAAATCTTACTGTAGGATACCTGAGTTTTCATATGCAAATAATGGTCAATAACTACAACACAATAGTGGCATTTATCTACTGAGTTTCTTCATACTTTCACATTTTGACAGCACACCAAGAATGACAAATGCAACAGATATCTTGCCTTTACTGGACTTATTAACCAAAGCAGACACAAATTCGTTAGCAAATATGAAATTTGACAGAAGAGTAGCTGATGTTACAGTAGGAAGTAGTGGAGGTAAGACACTAGCTAAACACGATTGCCTTCCAGTACTGATATCAGTAGGTTTTTTTTAACTTGGATAGGTGGTTATATCTCTAATGACTACTTTAACTTTACAGCAGGGTTCTGCTTGCAAGGACTTCTGAACAGATGAATGTACACATTTCTAATTTTTCTGGAAAGTCTACCATGCCAATTAATTACAAAGCCCTTCTTTAACTGCTATGCTCCCAAAATTGAGAAAAGCATATTACATACATTACAAACTGCAAATCTCTGGACCACTATCAATGAGGTCTTAATCCTTACATTATAATGTAATCAGATATGTAATCATATATGAATATTTTGTTGCTTTGTATACAGATGAATTAAATGATGAATACAAATGATTGTGTTAATAAGCAAGTATACAAGTCATAATATAAACATAAATGAAGATGAGACCTCCCTGAAGAAGTTAAGAAAAATCACAATATAAGAATCTATTCATAGGCCCCTGACCTTCTGCCACCAGACCCTTCTTGCCACCAAATGCCCCAGAAGGACCTGGAGGCAGTAAAAAGCACCCAATATCATCAGCAGCCATTCAGATCTTGACCCCTCCACCCTCTGGTAGACTGAGAAAGAGGAGTGGGTAGAACCCTGAACCCATATTCACAAGGAGAGGGAGAGACACCAGCTACACCCAATGGATGAAGAGATGGGAAGACAACAGTATAAGAACACATCCAACAATAGAAAGAGTTATATGACACCACCAGAGTCTAGGGACTCTACACCAGCAAGACCTGAACCTCCAAACACAGATGAAACAGAAGAGAATGGCCTTAAAAACAACTTCATGAAAATGATAGAGGCCATCAAAGAGTATATAAGAAAAGTCCTTAAAGAAATGGAAGAAAAACGAACCAAAAATTGCAAGAAATCAACAAATGTCTTAAAGAAAGCAAGGAAAGCCAAAAAAAATAATCAAACAGATTGAGGAACCAATTCAAACATTCAAGACATATAAACTGAAATAAAGACAATAAAAAAAACAAAATATGGAAATAAAAGAGGTGGGTAAAAGATCAGTTATGCAAGCATAACCAACCGAATACAAGACATGGAGGACAAATCTCAGGCACTGAAGATAAACTAGAGGAAATACATTCATCAATTCATCCACCAAAGATAATCTTTTTTAAAAATATAAGTTAGAAACAAACTTGCTTCACATGTCAAACCCAGCTCACTCTCCCTCCCCCGCTGTTGTGCCCCCGCCAGGCCCCCCCATTCCCCCACCCAATCCCCACTCTGTTCCCCAGGGAAGGTAAGATACTCCATGAGGGATCTCCAGAGTCTGCCTAGGCCCTCCCCGCAAGAGTCCAGGCTGAGAGAGCGACCAAAGATGATCTTAAATACAAAAAATCCATAACACAAAATATCCGAGAAATATGGGACACTGTGAAAAGACCAAGCCTAAGAATAGTAGGTATAGAAGAAGATGAAGACAAAAATAGACAGGAAGACCAATAGAATCAAACTGAACATCCTGATATTAACCCATACATGTATGAACATCTGATCATCAACAAAGAAGCTAAAAATATACAATGGAAAAAAGAAAGCATCTTTAACAAATGGTGCTGGCATATCTGGATGCTGGCATGTAGAAGGATGCAGATCAATCCATGTCTATCACCATGCACAAAACTTAAGTACAAAT